GCTGTGCCACCAGGGAGGGCCAATAATTGCAGTTTTGATCAAAGTCAGGGTCGGGGTGCAGCGAGTTTCTGTCTTTCCATTGCATGGACCCATGTCCTCAGGAGGCCCCTCTGCTTGTGTCCCAGGTGGAGCACTTGAGGGGCCCCAGGGGTCCTGAGCCACAGGTGGGTCTCTTGGGGGAAGAGCACGTAGAGGCAGGGAAAGGATCAAGCAGGTCAGGAGGCTGGGAGTCAGGGTAGTAGCCCCAGGAGAGGCATCCTGGAAGGAGCGAGAGGAGGGTGTGGACACCTCAGGGAGGTGAGAGTGGGTGGGGGCAGAATGTGAAACCTTTGTCTGTGCCAAGGTACTTTTAAAGGAAGTGTCTGGGACCCGCTGGCCTGGAAAAGTCCTGGTCAGATGGCTTGGGCTGGACAGGAGGACGTCATCACTCCCTGGAGAACGCCACCTCTGTGTCAACAGTCGCTCACAGCTGCTACCTCCCGGGACACTCCCTCCACCCAGGGATGCCCAGTGGCTAGGCAGGACCCCTGGGCTGGCTGGGGACAGGCCATCTCTCCCAGCCCAGAGGCAGGAGGACAGGGAAGGAGCAGCTCGCTCCCTGCTGAGGAGAGGGCTACGGGGGTCTGTGTCGGGACGGAAGTGGTACCCCAAGCCTGTCTCGGTGTCTAATCAGTGGCTTTTGCCTCTCACAGCTAGATGAGGAAGAAGAGAGAAGGAAAAGACGCCGGGAGAAGAACAAAGTGGCGGCGGCCCGATGCCGGAACAAGAAGAAAGAGCGGACGGAGTTCCTGCAGCGGGTGAGCGGGGCCACTGGCCAGGGCGGGGCCTGCTTTGGTCTCTGGGGTGGGGTCCAGCTCTTGCAGAGCGGATGTCACAAAAGGTCTGCAGAATCCATGCTGCCACTGTCCACGCGGTCTGGCCCCCTCTGCTCTTCCTTGCCTCCAGCATGCTCCTGCTGACCCAAAACAGCCCTGGGGGAGGGGAGCTGCCACCAGGGCTGCCCCCCCAGAGGCCGGGAAGGTCAGAGCAGGCCAGAGGAGGCAAATTCCCTTGAGGGCTAGACCCTGGGTGCTGACTGACCTGGTGACGCAGGCCTGGAGATACTCATTTTGTGCCAAAGCTGTCCAGGGTGGGTGCTCAGGAAGCGAGCGGTAATGCCGTGCACGTGGGGCTGGTCACAGCACCTGGACCGGGAAACTCCCTCTTAACTACAGCAGGCTGTTCCAGGCCTGCATCCCACCAGTCAGTCCCTCAGCCTTTGCCGATGGCCCCAGGGATGTTGGCCGCTGCTGCTGGAAGCAGAAGCCAGCTCTGCGTGCAAAGGCCAGCAGAAGGTTGCCTTTTCTCCTGGCCCTCAGAACAGGTCCCTGCCACTTGAATGGGGTTGTGCTACGCAGGCCTGAGTTCAGTCTTGTAGGCCTTCCCTGCTTCTGAGAACATCATAGATGGCAGTGACGGAACCCGAGCAAAAAGCCAATTAGTCCTGTCAGAAGGCTTCATCCTCTCCACCCACAATCATTTGCTCATTACTAAACAATAACCACATGGAAGAATAACGTGACAGCCAGGCACTGTTCTAGTATGCAATACAAATCGTTGCTACATTTGGAAAGTTGGGCACTGTGCTACGTGTTGTGTGCATCAGACCTTATCTCATTTTATTGCCATAGTAACTGAAGCAGAGAGATGTCTTTTCATTATTCTTTCTACAGTCAGGGGAAAACGAAGGCATATCGGGGTGAAGCAAGTGTCCAGACCCTCAACAGCGAAGTGTACAGACCCCTCAGTAGTAAAACTGAGATTTGAGCCTGAGCTTAACTTGGCAGTGTTTGTTCGCAGTACTCTGCTATACTCATTATTCGCTCCTTCTTTCGTTCCGTCATGCATTCATCCTTTCGCTCACCCGCTGATTTGTTAACAAGTATTGTTAAGCCGGTCCCGAACACCCAGACCCGTGCTAGCTAGACAGAGGGGTGCACAGGAAAAGGCGGGCGTGGCGCCTCCTTGGGTTGCTGCGGAGACCAGGATGGGTCAACTGGAACATCTCTGGCACTGGGGGATCTGTCAGTCTCTTCTCATGCTTGCAGCCGGCAGAACACCAACTCGAGGCCACAGGTGGACAGCATGGGGGCCTGGAGTACCCCCATCTATGAGCATCTAGGCCAAGGGAATGGCTGTTGTGGGGGGGGGCAGCTGGACTTTAGAGCTGGGCACCTCCTAGAAGAAATGGCGGCTCGATATTGGGCTGGCCGTTTCCCAGAAGTCTCACGTAGGCCTTTGAGACGGAGGGAGTGTCACATAGCTGTTCCCAGCCTGAATGCCTGTAGTGGGCAGAGCAGGGCGAGGCATAGCCAGGAGCGGAGAAATCTCCCATCAGATCCCTGCCGCCCAGGGCTTGTGGGCCAGATAACAGGCGGGAGATGCTGGTCCCACACCAGTGCAGGGAAAGGCCAGGACCAGGTGAATGCCGGTGCCGGCTGCTCTCCACACTCCCGCGATACCTACAGCGCGCGCCCGTCAAGTGTCACCTTTACTCTTACGACAGTCCTTGAGATCAATATTGATCAATCATCCCCATTGGGACATTGACCTGTAGCTGGGAGGGGTCAAGTTGCCTGGCCAGCTCACGCTGACGCATTCCCTCCGTCGTTCACCCCGGTGACCCCCCCGTGGGCGCCTCGGAGTGCCAGCGGGATGGGCCAGCGCAACGGAAGGCGGGTAACGCGCCCAGTGCTCTGTTGGGCAACCCCCACGCTGTGAGAACATAGCGGGCCCCAGCCTCGTCTGTGCTGGTGCAACACTGCCTGTTGAGACATCGCAGGGGAGTGGGAGGCGAGAAGGGAAGCCCCTGGTGGAGGGGCTTCACCAGGAACAGGCGAGCGACGGACACTGGCGTGAGTGTGCTGGGCCCTCCGTGCCCGGTGTCTGGAGGGCCCAGTCTGTGCTGGGCCCTGGCCTGGTTACTGCTGGCACCCTCCTTTCCCCTCACAAGAGTCCTGTCACAGACACAAGGATGCAGTCCTGGGGAGCCCTTGGCGCGTTTCCGGAGGAGAGAGACACACCTTGAAAAGATGCCTCAGACGGCAGCCTGGGGCATGGATTGGGGAGTGGGGCATGGAATTGGGGAGCCCAGAACAGAGCAGGACAAGTGGTTGTATGGCTGTTAGGTGTCCAGGAGGGAGGAGAAGGCAACGTAGGTGAGGACAAGGAGACGCAGGTGGCTTTGGGCCTAGAGGGAGTTTGGGCGGGTCCATCCAGGCCCAGCTGGGTCCTTCGTGCTTCTCCCTGTCGCTGGCCTCGGGGGCAGAAGTTGGTGTGAATCTCAGGGCTCAAATCATGCATCTGGTGTGTGTTGTCTATTTGTGCAGACCTGGGGGATTCTCTCGTCCTTTCTTTTTTAACAAGTAAAACAGAGACAAGGCTGAGAGGTGGAAAGGTACGGGGGTGGGGGGCGGGGGAGTCGGGGCTCACCATGAATTTGTTTCCTGTCCAGTGCTGCCTGTGCTGCCCCCCCATGTCCGGTTTCGACTTCCACTCACTGTGTCTACACGCCACCTCCTTCCTCGCCCCTCCCTCACCCCTCCCTCCATCAGGTGCTCGTGCCCCTCCCGGGCTCCATTCTCCAACTCCAGGCGGTCACCAAGTCCTCTCTGGATGGCCACGGCCTCTCCTCCCTCCCTGTATTCTCCGTCTGTCTCGTGGATTAAAGTTAGAAATCTTTAAGCCCCCTAATGCTTTTGCTTATACAGTGCTTTTCTCACAGGAGTTCACCTTACCCCCGCGATCATCATCTTTCCACAGACAAGTGAGTGAGCTCTGAGAAGTTAAACTTTCCCTGGACCCAGCTCCAAGCTCCACGCCTCTGGCCTGTCTGGCTCTAAATGCTCCTCCCAGCTCTGTGTCTGTGCTGTCCAGCGTGAGCCTCCCTGGCCAGGGGGGATTTTTCTCCTCCTGGGCATGCCCCAGCTTTCCCACATCTGTGTCCTTAGTCACGCAGAGTTCCTACTTTGACCCTCGAGCTCCTTTACCTGGATAGAACCAAGCCATCTTTCACCTCCAAGGTCAGGCCTGGACTTGGTTTCTTGGAGGC